AGCCCAGCTATGGAAGTATCCAAAGTAAATAAGCCTACAAGATTGTAAACAGGGAACCAGAAACATCAATTGACAAATGAGGACAACTACAAACCAAAAAGACGGGAAAGACTGTGTAGTTACAGAACTTCTAGATGGTAGGGAAGTCAAGACAACTACAAGATAGATAGACTGTTCTAAACTTGGGAAGCAAACTATAAATCACAGGGTAACCTCAAAGAAAAATGATAAACCTTCACATCAAAAAAGAGGACCGGCATAAATATTTAGCAAATACTAAAACAATAGCAATGAAGGAAGTGATAACACAATTCATAAACAAAACGAGCTCAGCACAGAAAATTATATGAAACAAAGAAATCGACACCACAAAAAAGCACATAACAAAAATGACAATGACAAGTTCATATTTGTCGATAATTGCATATCTGGCAAGGGACTTATCTCTAAGATTTATAGCTGAAGAGTGGATGACTAAACTATGGTGCATACACATAATGGAATGCTATGCAGCACTAACCCACCAGCCACTCCTCGGAAGGAAGGTTGGGCAATCCTACTTCCGTAGTATACTGCCTCGGAAACCCAAAGAGGGGTCGCTATGAGTCGGGGCCGACTCGACGGCAAACAACAACAACAACATGCAGCACTAAAGAATAATGTAGAGTCTGTAAAACACCACATAATATGGATGAACTTGGAGGACATTATGCTGAGTGAAATAAGTCAATCACAGAAGGACAAATATAGTACTAGTTCATTGTTGTGGAGGGTCAAGGAAAGGTTTATATAGAGAGGGAAATTTTCTTTGTTGATAGCTAGGTGGGAGAGGAGGGGAGGGAACACTGCAAAAATAAAAATGCATTACCCATGTCACTTTAGTTTTGTATATTTCACTGTGCGTAAATTATATTTCAATAAAATGGATTAAAAAAACTTGGTGGCAGGGGAGGGGGTGTGTGGTGATGGGGTGGGGTGGCGGGAGAATTTCCAGAAATCCATCCCAAACCAAAAAACAAAACTCACTGCCGTCAAATTGATTTAACTCATAGCCACCCCTCCTTGGGTTTCCGAGGTGGTATCTCTACAAAAGCAGATTGCCCAACATTCCTTCTGAGAAGTGGCTGGTGGGTTTGAACTCCCAGCAGCAGCATCCAATCTCACCAAGCTTTGGTGGCTCCTCCCACATTCCACAGGTTTCAGGATCCCCAGTGGTGTGAAGTCAGGGTCATCCTGGCTCTGCCCCAGGGGAGGTTCATCCTCCCACCCTTCGTGTCTCGCTTCCATCTGATTTATGGCTTTAGCATGTTAGCCTGCAGAGTCTTAATTTAAAGCCTCTGTCAGAGGTTATTATATCAACATGTTGCCAGTATAAAGCTGTTTTCCTTTGGTTTTGCTCCTGTCTCCTTTTTCATGATATGAAACATGATGTAGGAAAATAAGGCTACCAAACTGGGGTTAGGGGAGCTATTGAAGCACTCTTGTGTAATCTCTTCAAAGTTGCCACGACACCATCCCAGGCAGGGGCGGAAGTCAAAATTCTGGTCTTCAAGCCAAATCCCACCAAGATCTGCCTCTACCTTCTCATTCACGTCTCTTTCCTAAGCTGCTTCTAAATGCTGCTCTGGTGGTAGTTACCACTGAATTCAGAGTGTCTAGTCTAATGTTGATTAACTGTTTTAAACTCCTGTGGCTCCAGCCAGTAGTTACTGGAGTTGTAAACAGTTGCTCACTGAAGGGTTGGCAGTTCGATTCCATTCAGAGGCACATTGAAAAAAGGCCTGGCAATCTACTTCCAAAAAATGAGCCATTAAAAAACCCTGTGGGCACAGTTCTATTCACACACATTGGGTCACCATGGGTCAGAATCACATTTCTGACAACGGTTGCTATACATACCTGCCTCATGGTCTTCAGATATTCTTGCTCCTCCGGGAACGTATTCCCCTTTTCCTACAATAAGAGTTCTGAGCTATTGTTTTCCAGAATTTTCTCATGGAGTGAGACAAACCAAGAATCATTTTCCCATCATTTGACTACTCTGGAAAACAAAGGCTGAGCTACATAGTGTCTGTGTACATGTACAGCTTGTTTAAACCTAAGTACATTATATGTGTGTGCTAGCAAAACCATTATTTCAGAGTTTGGCTCCTTGAGAGCAGAGTCGAGTTTCTGTTACTTGGATCGTCTCTGCTGTTGATCAGTGAGCAGTGTGTTCCTTATGCTGCTGATAGCAAGTTCTTGGCTCTAAGAGTGATATTTTTTATGACATGCTGTGAAAATTTCATGGGTTGCTCAAGACTGTATTCCTGTCATCAGCTTCGAGAGGAGAGTTGTGGAATAATGTTCATGATACAGTACATGAAAAGAATCATAATACAGTATAAGTTTATGGTGTGATTCCTTTTGTTTGTTAAAAAAGAGTGTGTGTGTTCATATATATCATATATATGTATGTGTGTGTGTATATATATACACACACACATATATATACACACATGTATATATAATATATATGTGTGTGTGTATATATATATATGCATGTGTGTGTGTGTGTGTGTGTGTATAAACCAAACTCACTGTCGTCAAGTCGGATCCAACTAATAGCAATCCCTCCTTGGGTTTCCGAGGCAGTATCTCTACAGAAGTAGATTGACCAACTTTCCTTCCA